GTTGGAAGGTTGGAAGGGAACCGATGGGGGCAGTCGGAAGGTTGCGAATAAAGAATGGAGGAGTTCTGTGCTTTAGCCACAGGGTGAGTTCAGCTAAGACAGTCTAGGTCTGCCTGGCAAGACTTGGAGTGGCTACCCTGCCCCATCCTGTTCTCACGCAGGTTGTGGGGGTGGCTGCTTGTGTTCTTGTCTTGCTAGACTCCTAGAAAAACCAGAGAGGCAGGGGGACCGGGTCCTAGCTCCACCTTCACCTGTCATCCTTAACCTTTCTGGGCCTCGGTTTCCTTCCTTGAAAACCGAGGTATCTGGACTAGATTATGGGATATGTTTCCAGTACTATATAAGGCACAGGAACTGAGGGTGTCTGCCGAGACCATCTGACAAGTCAGAGAAAAAGGCAGGGCCAGGGCCTAAGCAATCCCTCAGTCCTAACCTCGTGACAGCTGCCTCACAAACTCCAGGGCTTCTGCTGGCTTCAGCAGACATTTGAGCACCTCCTCCTAGATGCCAGATGCAGGCTTGCCCTTCATGTTTATGGGATCTGGGGTAGGAGTTCGTGTGGAAGTCCACATACCTCTAATATTTAAAAGTCTAAATATTTAAAAGTCATAAATCAAGCTAACACACCATTAAATAAAATATGTTCTAGTCTCCTACTTGACAAATGTACTTGTAACAATCTCGAAGGCCAAGTTCAAGTCTGGAAGTCTTGTATTTCTCAGCATTCTGCCCTGGAAAGTTGCTCACTGAGAGTGGCCCAGCTTGAGGCCATCGAGTGGTGTCCCTCTCTTCCCAGACCAGATCTACAAGCGCGCTTTCCCCCATGTCCAAGATCTGTCTACATCTCTGCAAACAGCTGCCACTTAATGGGTCACCTTTTAAGCATGCACACTGGTAATACAATCTCCCTTCAGGAGACTGGACCAAGGGAAGTGGGTTCAGAGCCTGTTGGGCCGGGAATTCCGAGTTCTTGGAAGCCATGGGCACTTCCTTTGGCCCCAGGGACTCCTTGCCTGTGTCTCCCTACTTCTGACACAAGCTAGTGTGGGCCCTTTAGTGGTACTCAGGGAAATTAAGACAAAAGCGACAGTAGACAGTATGGATTTACAGGCAAAGTTTTTTGTTTTTGTTTTTTTTTTTTTTTTTTGGTACCGGGGATCGAACTCAGGTCCTTTCACTTGCGAGGCAGGTGGTGGAACCACTGAGCTAAATCCCCAGCCCAGGCAAACTTTTAATTGGAAAGAGATAAGATCAACCAGACCCCATCCCACCAAGACACCCCATGAAACCCCAAGCCAGTCTGAGCCTCTTCATCAGTGTGTTGCTGCAACTACTCAAGCTGGAGTCCGCTTCTTCTTTTTTTTTGGTACCGTGGATTGAATTTGGGAGGCAGGCCGTGGAACCACTGAGCTAAATCCCTGGCCCTACTAGTTACACTTGTAATGAGTAACAGGTTAAGGGCCCAGGAGTTTTTCTTTGGTCCTTGTGGTGGTGTCTATGTCATGTCATGACTATGTCACTTCTTTCCCAGGCTGAGGGTGGTACTGACCGGGCATGTGGGGATGGCAGATTTCACGGAGGCCATCGGGATACTATGAACTGCAGAGTCCCTGCCTGGGAGTGAGGAGGAGGGAGGACTCACTCCTGAGAGCACTTGTGCTAAGCCCAGCCTGAAAGTTGAGATTACAGCAGGTGAAGAAGTGGGGGAAAGAAAGGAGCCAAGGCCTAGGGACTGGCATCTAGGGTCTGGGTGTCTGCGAATTGTGCCTACAGTGCAGAAAGGCAAAAGGGCGAATCTGTGTCCTCCACAAAGCAAGCAAAGCTGCCAGTGGTTGCAAGCTGAGGAGCCCCTGAAGCCAGCCTCACCCATCAGAGCAGGATGAGACCCTGCAGCCCATCCCTGGGCAGCTCTGCAGTGGCCAGATGTCCAGACACTGCTCAGTGGCACCTTGTCACCTTGGTAGCTGGGGCTGCTTTGCCAATTCCAAGGTGAGGAAACTTGGCTACTCAGAGCTTCCATAAGGAATTCAGCGGGCACTCCCGCCTTGTTTTCATTAAGAGAAGGCCCTGGAAAAGCGTTTCTTTAGGAATCAGTGCATCTGCATAAGTTTGCCTCGCAGCTGGAGATCGCTGGGAAAGAACAGCCCCTCCTGGTCCCTGGGAGCAGCGCTGAACCCACAGGGATTGGTGGACAGATCCCCAGGCGCCCTGCTCCGGGTCTGAGAGCTCCCAGGAGGGTTCAGCAGCAGAACAAAAGCTGTGGTCGTCCCCACAGTGGTGACTTGACTCTTTATTTCTACCTTCCCTTCCTGGTGGTGCTTCTCTCAATCACGTCCCAAATGAAACAGCTCCTGCCAGTTCTCTGCCTGGAGTCTGCCTCTCATCAAATGAGGCCACCTTGCTCTGTCTCCTGGCCATTAGGCTAAGCAGTGCCGCAGCAGTATTGTTTCCAAGTGATGTGTGTATTTGTGTGAAGGAGGGGTTGGGTAAAGAAAAAAATCTGGTTTAGTATGGGAGCTCCCTCTGAGAGTGCCCACAGGAGGCCTCTGAATGTCTGAACCTACAAACCCAAAGGAAAAATTTTGTCTTTTCTTTTAACTAGAGGCCCCTTGCTGGGTCCCTGCTGGCTGTCCCCAAACCAGTGTAGCAGAAATAACAAACACTAGGTTTTTTTCCCCCTTCTGCTGATGAAGCTTTTCTAGAAGGTGACCTACAGGAAAGATATGTAACCTGGGCCACCTCTATTGCACATGCTGACTTAGCATAGGCTCCTTCTCCTCTTGCCCCTTCTACTGCTACCAAATGGATCATGACCCAGGGCTGGCATGGCTGCCAACCTGCCCAGGAGCCCCTCTTGTGGCTGGGGCAGGCTCCCAAAAGAAAGCCCCTTCTCCTAGGGTAATTTTTGATTAACAGTGTCTTGTCTGAAGTTTCTCTTTGGGAACTTGTCTATCAGTCATACTTCTATATGTAACAAGAAGCCAGGCATGGTGGCACACACCTGTAGGCCTAGCACTCTGGGAGGCCAAGGCAGGAGGATCAAAAGTTTGAGCCCAGCCTGGACAACTTAGCAACTTAGCAAGAACCTGTCTCAAAGTTAAAAATTTTAAAAAAGGCTTGAGATATAGCTTGGTGTGAAGGCCCTGGGTTCGATCCCCAATACTGGAAAAAAGAAAGTAAGAACCCCCACCTCCTTGCTCCTTGGAACAAGAATTTGATTATAAGGGCTATTTGTCCCTGCTAGCTCTGTGGATGGACTCCCTCTTCTCTCCTCAGAGTTTCTGATTACTCCTTACTTTCCACTTGGGAGAAATAGTTCGTTTTGCATGTGGGCAAGGCCTTTCTCAGTGAGATCCCTGGGTCAGAGCACAGGGCCAGCAGCCCTGGAGAAGGCTTCGGTGAGGGAGACCCAGAAACCTGTGGACAAGGTGGGTGCAGACAGGCTGGTTCCAACAGCCACGTGTCATCCTTGGCCTGCTGCTGGTGACAGGGGAGCTTCGTAGTGCCAAGGTTTGGAAGGAATGTAGGAAGCCACCTCTGACACTGGTGATCACAAAGAAAGTGCTGCCCGCCATGCCTTTAAGCAGGGGGACCCCTCCCCCCCGAAGGACTTCATTTGGGGCCTTCCTCTACCCACATCGTACCCTATCTCCATTATTTTCTCCTTTACAGTTCAGCCACTTTTTGTTTTTCAAGGCCCAGTCAACAAGAGAAATAACTTCTCCAGGGCACAATAGCCCCAACTTGGCAGGTCTCCAGGATACCTAGGAGTGCTGTCCTAGCAGGGAGCAGAGGGCCCGGCCTGCTGCAGGCCTGTGGATCTGCTGGGACCAAGAGAATGTGGGGCAGCTGGACTGCTGGCCACCCCGGCCAGAGAAACAGATTTCCCTGCCACCTCTGCCCAGCTCAGACGGCCTCCTGCGCTCCCTAACACAGGGCTTTCCAAATCTCACAGGCACTGGAATCTCCCCTCCCCCACCGGGTTAAAATCCAGACCTCGGGCCCAGAGGTCTGGGTTGGGGCCCCGGGTGCCAGGATTCTGCATTCCTAACCAGCTCCCTCAGGCTGCGGCTGCAGCTGGCCCAAGGGCCACACCTGGGCCTAAACCCGCTGCGGGTGGATGTGATGAACCGCAGACGGATTCTGAACACGGTCTTGGACCTGCTGCCCGAGGCTGTGACTGTGAGCCTCAACCCCAAAGCTGGCCTCTAGAGCTACACTGGCTTGGAAGAGCTCCCGTCCTTGTCTTTTCGTCTTTTGGGATCATCCACCAGTCCAAAGAAAGGAAATCAGCAGCCTGAATTTCGGGAAAACATCATTATTCTAAACTGTCCTGTCCCTTCTCCAGGCCTCCGAGTTACATAACACATAACGTGCCCTTGGTGAAAATGCTGACAATGCTATTTGGGTGGCTGGAAGCCAATTTCCGGCTGAGTATTGCTGGAGGGGAGGGGGGCGGGGTCAGGGAAGGGGGCAGGGTCTGGGGAGGGATTTAAGGAGAGACGGGCCAGGCAGATGGAGAGGGCAAGAGGGCCAGGGTGGCCAAGGCCTGGGGATAAAGCCGATTGGTGTGTCAGCAAAATCTGTCGCTGGGTTTGGTGATTCGAAAGGCAGACACATTCTTTCATCTCTGTTAATCCTTATCTGATACAGAGGATTTTCCTGCCATTAAATCTGGAGAAAGAAAAATAAGCACTGAAACCTGCACAAGCAGCTATTCCTCTTCCGCCGCTCTCCCCCTACTCCCAGCCTTCACTTCTCAGTGGCACCATTGTTAGCTCCTTGACTGCAGGGTTTGGGAGATGGAGGGGGTGGGGGAGCCGAGGGGCCCCTCAGTGCAGCGGGATCAGGCAGACCCCAGGGCGGTAAGCAGCCTCAGGGTTCCTCTGCAGCAGTCTCCCCTCTGTCCATTTTCTGGCTGGGTCATCAGTGGTAGCATCTGAGTCTGTCAGAGTCTTAGCCTGATGAAGGCTTTCCAGATGGACCCAGGCTGTCAGTTTGGGGCGAACTCTGGCTGTTGTCACTGGTTTCTCCTAACCCAGCCCCAGGGTCCCTGGGGAGGAATGAATGTGAGGAAAGGGACAAGGCCGGGCATTTGGGAAAAAGTGTGGAGGTGTAGGGATGGTTCTCAGAGGAGCCCTTCTGGGCACCTGGTGACCTGGGCTTTCTTCCCTCAGGCAGGGATCCCATAGCTCGGTGTTTCTAAGCCACCAGGTGTGTGGACGTGGAGGGATGCTGGTCCTGCTTCTGAATGGTGAGTTTGGCTGCCCGTGGGCACAGGGTTGGGAGGGTGCGTGGAAGCCACAGGGCCCCCATCCAAAGAGCTGTGTCTTCAGGTGGCTTCCACAGTGGTCTCTGGACACTTCTGATTAGGTTTCACTGCAAGTGTGATTGTGGGGGAGCTGATGGAGAATGAAGCAGCAGGGGTGTGTGTGTAGTGCTTTTCATTTGTTTGTTTAAAAACAAAACTCCTGAGCCAAATACATGAAATAGTATTCTTGGTGATTTTCTTCCCTAATTTAGATATGGATTTGTTAATGTTATAACCTCAAATGTGGTTTTTAATCATATCATTTTAAGCTCATTTATTCAAAAATAAAAATCTCTTGAAGAAACCATTCTCCTAAAGGAAAGAGAAAAAAATGAAAGATGTTGGAATTGCAGAATTATAGATGTTCAACATTTTTTCAAAATCTTTTGTCTTGCTGTTATATGAATTGTAATATGCCAGGAAGGGGTCAGGGGAGTAGCTCAGTGAGAGAGTTTGTGCTTAGTATGTGTGAGGTCTTGGATTTGACCCTCAGCACCACACAAATGCACATGCACATGTGTGCACGCGCACTTGCACACCCCCAAGAAGAACTCCCCACAAAATATTTTCCCCAGCTACAACTGCTCAAATCTGAAGTAACCCAAAGAAAAAAAAATCTCTTGTTAAATTCTTCAATAAATGGTTCTATTCACAGAATCTACTTTTCTGACCCTTGGGGTGAATTTAATTATTTGAGGTTATGATAATGTCTATAACAGACCTCATTGTGCAGTACTGGTAAAGAACACTTTGCCAGATCATTCTAAAACAATAGCAATAGAATTTTCTTACTCTTTATTCCACCATTTCAAAAAGTAGAACTTTCTCTATTCAATCAAACAATAGATATATGGTATGCCTTCAATATACTCAAAGGAGACTATGAGGACTATAACCACATGGTCTTTGTCCTTGAAAAACTTTCATTCCTTTATGGGAGATTTAATAAATAAATGAGAAAAATATTGGAACAAGGCATAGAGAACATTATGATAAATAGGACATGACTCCCTACCCCAAAGAGCCTCCAAAGGACAGAGGTTGACATTTATATAATTACCCACAGCCAGCTTCTTGCCATTTCTCCTACTGGGAAGGACACGGAGATTGATTGACTCATTGGGAGAGAATGTTTGCTTCTCAGAGCCAGTATTATTTTAGACTTGCACCCAAAACTCTGCTGTTCCTTACAGAATGCAGACAACATTCAGAGTCTGCATGCTGCAAAGCAGAGCTGTCCCTGCTACAGAATACCGAAATCCATCCAGACTTCTTGTGATAAGTTGGAGAGCTCAGCGGTGACATCATTTGCTAACAATAGATGCACTTAAAATTAATGACCGTCTCCACATCCCCTTGTGCTTTCATTTAAAATACATTCAAGCAGCACAGAGAATGCTGCTCACCAGCAATGGGGACAACATGTTCCTGAGAAGCAGGCAGGAACAGCACACTGCCTCCTTGGTTAGGAAGAAAATGACTGAACGAGCCTCACAAAACAAGACCTTGGGAGAATCAGAAGTGGCTCATAGCAGGGGACATTTGGAGCAAGACCAAAACAGAAATTCTCCTCCTCGGGACAAGCAGGTCTTCCACAAGTGCCTCTTTTCTCAGATGGATAAGTGCAAAGGTCCCCACCTCTGCCCCCTGTGTTAACCCTGCAAGGGTCTTTCTGTTGTTCATAGCATAATATCCAAGTTCCAACAGGGGTCTTCATATCTGGCTTGCACTACACTGGGTTTTGTCCACCATGCTGTCCTAGCTTCTAAGACACACAGTAGGTGCTTAAAAAGAGTTTGTTGGTTAAATGGGTGAAGCTGCCCAGATTAGAACTGTAACTCAATCTGGCATGCTGTGAACCTCCAGAACTGTGTCATATTAGGTTTCTTAAGAGAATAAGAATTGCATTCAGAAGAAGTCTATGGGAGCCAGGCATGGTGGCACACGCCTGTAATCCAAGCACTCAGGAGGCTGAGACAAGAGGATCACCGTGAGTTTGAGACCAGTCTGAATGACATAGGGAGACCCTGTCTCGCAAATCCAAAACCAACCAACCAACCAACCAAAAATCCCCCAAAAACATTTCTATGGGAAAGTAAAATCACAATTCAGTGTTGCTCACATACCCACTAGAATGGCTAAAAGGCAAAAGATTGATGAACATCAAATGTTGATGAAGCTGTAGAGCAACTGGAACTCTCATACCTGGCTGGCAGGACTGTAAAATGGGGTGATCATTTTGGAGGACTGTTTGGTTCTTTCTTAGAAAGTTAAACATACATTTATCCTATGACCCAGCAATTCCATTCCTAGATAAATGAGAAGTGAAAACACATGTCCATAAGGAGTCTAGCACACAAGTTTTCTATCAGTTTTAGTCACAGTAAGCTAAAACTGGAAACAATCCAAATATCAATCAATAGGTGACTGAATAAGCAAATTGAGATACCTTCATATAACAGAGAACTGCACAGCAATAAAAAGGAGCAATCACTGATATTTGTTACAAAGTGGCTGAATCTCACAAACAGAACGTTGAGTGAAAGAACCATTGGATTCCATTTATATAAGTTGAGAAAGGCAAAACTAAAGTTCAGAAACCAGAACTGGAGCCAGGGATTGCCTGGAGCCAGGGGTGGGGAGAGGACTGATAGCAAAGGGACTTTAGGAAACTTTCTGGAAATTAGATTGGAAGTGTTCTAAATCTTGATTGGGATGGCAGGTGTATGTATTTGCTATATTTATTGAACTGTACACTAAAATAGATAAATTTTATTGTGAGTCAACTTGATTTAAAAGAAGAAAGGAGGCCTGTGGAGAGAGATGCCTGTATTCTAAGTGGAATAATTCTTCCCTGTTGAGTCAGGTACTGTGGAGTGTGAAGCAATATGAGATTCCCCACTGTCACTGATTACTCCTTTATATGGACATAGTTGTTTATCTGTTCTGCTATTGCTGGACATTTAAGTGGCTTCCAGTTAGGGGCATGTCTTAATCTTTTTTCTGCTACTGTAGCAAAATACCTGAGGCTGAACACTTTATAAAGAAAAGTTTATTTATCTCACAGTTTTGGAGGTTCAGATCATGGCACCAACATCTGCTCAGCTTGGCTAAGGGTCTCATGGTAGGAAAGTGTAGAAGAGGAAGAAATTACATGGCAAGATAGGAAGCAAGAGAGATTCAGGGCAGGTGCCAGGCTCACTTATAATAACCTGCTCCTGTGGGACTTCCTGAGAGCCCAAGAATTGTATTAATCTCTTCCAAGGATGGTCTCATTACCTTCCACTAGGCTGCAGCTGGTAAAGGTCCTACCACCCCTCAACACCACTGCGGTGAGAACCAAGCCTTTGGAATGTGAACCTTTGGTGGACACACTCAAATATCCAAACCATAGCAGGGCAATTATCAGTATGTAGGCCGGGAGGCCTTTCTAGGGCTCTGCATTCTTTTCAGCTGGGTGGATCTTCTCCCTTGAGTTCTAGAAGGCCTTTGAGGCCATTGGCAGACCACCTCTCCTGGGGTGGGTTTCTCTGTCCCTCATGACCCACCTTAGTCAGCAATGCTGCAGCTGAAACCCAGGATCCTTTCTTCCTGTCACCAAGGTACCTGCATGGCATGGGAAGCATGTACTGGGGTCACACAAGGCCAGAGACCATGGCGTGGTCTCCTCTACCAAATTTCTGTTCCCCTAGCCAGTTTGGGTTTGCAAATCCAGCACTGGGTCTTGGCCTGAGGAGCAATTGGGTTAGCATTTGCTAGGAGTGGGAAAGGAATGATTTCTAGAGCCAAAGTGGCTGAAGAGATTTTGCTGAAACCAGAAAATTGGCCATATTTCCCCATGCTATTTTGATTTCATGAGGCACAGGCTCTTTTAAAATAATGAGAATAAAGAAACATTCCAAACTCAGTCTGTGGTTGGAAAGTACATGAGTAACGTTCTCCTCGTTCTCCTAGCAAACCCTGAGGGGGGAATACACACTTGGAAGCCAAGGGCCTCCTGGGAGGAATGCCTCAGCTGGGCAGCATTGAGACTCATTCTGTGCAGTATCTGGGCCTGGTCAGCGTAACCTCCCTGCAGCTCAGGGCCTGGCCTATGCTCCCAACTAGGACACAAAAGCAGGGACCCATTTCTGGTGTTTGGCCCCATTTAGAGACATCTTGTCATATGGTTTTTTTTCCCTCCAAAATATTTTTTACTGCATTGCAATGTAATTTTTTTTTTTTTTTTTTGGTACCAGGGATTGAACTTGGGTCCTTGTGCTTCCAGAGCAGGCGGTGAAACCACTGAGCTAAACCCCCGGCCCGCAATGTAATTTTTTATTAGTGCATGTTAGTAGTACAGAATGGTAAGATTGGTTTTGGGAAATTGGTGTGTGCATTTAACATATTTCGATTATTTTTACTCTCCTCTCCTTTTTCTCCTCCCCTGTTCCCTTCTTCATCTCCAGAAATCTACCTTTTAGTTTCCTGTCATCTCTCCTTTACTCCATTCATTCATTCACTCTCTTTTGGCTTTCTCATAAAAGAGAAAACATGCAATATTTAAGTTTCTGAGTCAGACTTAGTTGAGGTAAAATTCACATAAAATTTAACTTTAAAAAAAAAATTTTTAGGGGCCGGGGATTTAGCTCAGTGGTTCTGTCTCCTGCCTCACAAGCGCAAGGACTGGAGCTTGATCCCTGGTACCAAAAAAATTTTTTTTTTAAATTTTGAGACAGGGTCTTGCTAAGTCGCTAAGTTGCCCAGGGTGGGCTCATACTTATGACCCTCCTGCCTCAGCTTCCCTGAGTGGTAAGTTTACAGGCATGCACATTATGCCTGACTTATATTTAACTATTTTAAAGAACACAATTCGCACTTTCACAGTGTTGTGTAACCACCACGTCTATCTAGTTTGAAGACGTTTTTCATCTTCTCAAAAGGAAACTGTGCCTATTTATGAA